GAATGATGTACAAAGGCGCTTTACACAATTGATGTGTGTATGGATTGCGATAACAGTTGTATGAGCCCCTAATAAAATGTTTTTTAAAAATTTACTTGTTTTCAATATGCATGAATATATATATAGTGCAAAGCAATCACAAGTCAATCATGATTTCCCTGAACCAATACTTTCAAAATTGTTGAATTGAACAACTCTATGGTTATTTACAGTAATGGCAATATGAATATTGAGAGAATCACTTATAGTTGTGGGCCAGTGGCGCAATGGATAACGCGTCTGACTACGGATCAGAAGATTCTAGGTTCGACTCCTGGCTGGCTTGCTTCGTTTACTTTTTCTCTTCATTTTTCCGGTCCCTCTTTGTGAATACCTTTTTTAAGAAGTGATATTAGAGTCTGTTGAATGTACGTTACTTGAACTAATTCCGGATGTCAGTTGTGTCTCAACGTGACTTTAAAAACTTGGAAGGAGAGACCTTCCAAGATGATCTTTGTACCTCGTTGATCTCCTTAAACTTCTAAGAGGTTGGCTGACTTTCCTTAGACGGAAAGTCTGAAACTCAGGGCAGCTTAAAGGAAACATTTAAAACAAAGTGTCTCCTCCAATAGTTTTGTGCAGAATTCTCACACATGGCTCCCTGTCCTGCGCAGCTCTCCCCGGGATAACTCCTGGCATACACAAAAGGGACGTCTCTCGGGAGCCAGCAGGATGTTGAGCTCCCCACCTGGTGCCACCACCTTCCTTAGCCAGGCAGGAGCCGACGAATCTGTCCGCAGGAGACAGGAACAGACGGGATCCTTTCCTTAGAAGGAGACACCGCCCTAGGAAAGGATGCGGGTGCAGGGAAGACGTGGGAGGCAGCCGTTTGTTTTCAGCGACCTGCCAGGGTCTGAGGACAAAGGGGCCTGGGGCCAATCACTCTCCAGAGAAGCAAACTGCAGAATCCAAACCAGCGGAGCTATGGGTCAGTGAGGGACATCGTGTCTCGTGATGGGGCCGGCCCTGTGGTCCTCTCTGTGCATTGGCTGCTCTGAGCAGGAATATCGTCTTCAGGGCTTGGTGGGTCAGTGAGGGACATCGTGTCTCGTGGTGGGGCCGGCCCTGTGGTCCTCTCTGTGCATTGGCTGCTCTGAGCAGGAATATCGTCTTCAGGGCTTGGTGGGCCAGGATGTGCTCCACTCTCTCTTCCTCCTCCTTCGTTTACTGCTGGGTGCTCTGATCAGACACGTCCCTCTCCCTGAGCCGTAGGTAGCTTCAGATCTATCTTCTGAAGTGAATTCTTCTGGGGGGAGGGCAGTTCTCTGCTTGTTGCACAGTTAAAGGGGCGGGGAGATTGTCTGTAAAGGTAGATAATCAGTGGCATCCTCACGAGGAGTGGACGTTTACCTTGAACATCGCTTGGAATAAATGAGGGTGGGGTCAGAGGGTGGAGAATGAAGCATGGCCATTCGGAAATAAGAATGTACACTGGAACCAACCTACTACTGACACTGGTTTAAAGCAGCCAAATAACATTGTCCCGTTTCCCAGAAAATTAAATAGATTAAACCTCTGACTCTTCTAAATTCCCCTTCTGTAAACACTCCCATCTCGATCCAGCCCTGACTCAATTATTTCCAAAGAATTCTTCGAAGGCTTATATGCAATTTTTAGTTTAAAAAAAAACGAAACTGAGAGAAGAATGCCATTCAGATCAATGAAGATGAGGCAGGGTTGGAGAACGTCTGCATTTTAATTTTTGAACAGAGACTTCAGTTTGTAAACAGAATGAATGGAGAAGGTAAGAAATCTTATAAAAGGATACTCACAGTGGCCCGTACGGCGACCTTGGCGTTATTAGCACCACACTCTAACCAACTGAGCTAACCGGCCACGCAAACACTTGGAAT